TCATGCTCAAATCAGTGGCCATAATGCTAAAATCAAGGCACCAAAAGGCAAGACATGCATGCACATGCATTGGCCTATCAACTAGGCATAAGAGCACAACTCTCAAGAGTGCTCAAGGAGTGACAAATCAAAAAGTGTAGCCACACTATATGCACTAAAATCAGGTATGAAATGATGCCAAATCATCCAATCAATACAAGCATGGCATGCTAGGGTTCTTAAAGCATAAATCTACCAAAGAGGACTACACAAGGGGGCATGCAATACATGGGACAAATGAATGAACCAAACATGGACAGAGCTCACATAGGTCAAGACAATGACCAAAACATGCTAAGTTAGGAGCTTAAAAGTCTAGGCACGCATGCATACATACTAGGCCATAAACAAGGCAACAATACACAACCCTTAGAGGCACTTAAAGGGTGAAAGAAGTGGAAGCATGGCAATGCTACATGCTCTGAAATGTCATGTTAAGTGATGCCAAATCATCCAAACAACACAAATGAAGCATGTTATGATGCTCAAAACTCAAAGCTAGCAAGGCCAATTGCACTACAGCTATGCAATACATGAAGCATATGGCAAGTACAACCCAAAATAGTCCTAAAGCATGCTAAAATGATACTAAAACATGCGTGGACCAAAGCTAAAACAAGCTAACATGAAGGGCATAAAGCATGATGTATGCAAGGCCAAAAGGTAGGATTACACTATAAGTGCCAAGACCAAGCATGAGATGGCTTCGCCAACAAAAATCAGAGTTATATCATGGCAAAATAACCCCAAATACACACTGAAATGATAGCTTGCAAGCTTAGGCATGATGGCATACACAATGGCTCATGTTTAAGGCTTAAAGCATAAATCCTCCAATGCATTGAAAGAGTGACAGATGCGAGTGTATGACCACACTACATGCACTGAAATCACATATGAAATGATGCCAAATCAGGAAAATAGCCCAAGCAATGCATGCTAGTGGCTTGGAAACTCAAAGCTAGTGAGCTAGATTGAACCATGGCTATACAAAGCAATGCATGCATGACCCAAAACACTTAAAATAGAGCTTAACCATGGTAAAACATAAACAAAAGCTTCTTAAAGTTAAGCCAAAATCATGCTAGAATGATGGTTCAAAGCATGATACACATTAAGCTAGTGAATGGAAATGCACTACAAGTGCATGAAGCATGCATGGGGCTATCAAACCAAGCCAAAAAAGATCTAAGGCATGTTAAAAAAAACACCAAAAACCTACTGAGATGGACTCAAAATATGCTAGAAAGACATGCCACTTCATGAAGCACAAAAAGCTAGTTTGTAAAGATTACACCACAAGTGTAAACAACATGCATGGGGTGACCAAACCAAGTCAAAACAGTGGTATGAAATGCTGAAATAATGCCAAAAATAGGCTGAGAACAAGCCAACACAAGCTAGATAAACATGCTCAAACATGAGGCATACAAAGCATGCAACTAAGAAACAAGGAGAGAGAATGACCCTCTCCTATTTGGGATCTCAAAACACAAGTTTTACCACTGAAAATCCACTGGATTTTAGTGGTTAAAAAGCCAAGAGAAAGTGATCTCAAGGGCCTAAAGTGATGGTGCAAAACAATGCCAAACAAGGCATGCAAGGGAGTAGATCACCCCCAACACAAAAGAGACCTCAAACAAACATTACAAGCATGCAAAATCAGAACTTTTTGTAGTAGAAAGTTAGGCCTAAAACAACATGCAAGTAGGGCCAAAAACTTAATCAAAAACAAGGATTTAAGAGGTTAGAAGCTCACCCTTGTAGAACCACTTTAGAGCAACAACTCCAGCAGCTTTCTTGGATCAAAGCCAGTCCAAAAACACCAAAACTAGCTTCAAAGTGCCTCAGCAACAAGAGCATGGTGTTTAAGTGTGTGTTTGTATGCAATAGTATGATGAAAATGCACTTTTAAGCACAAAACAAGAGAGAATGAGCAAATATAGAGATAGGTGTGTATCTATAGCTCAATGCCAAAATTCTGAACCTAAGGCAAGAAGGGGGAGGTTCTCTTTTATAGAGAACCAAAGTTTAAGCTTATTGAACAAGCTTAGGCCTTCAAGCCATTCCTCTATATGGAGGATGGTTTCTGTGCCCTCTAGCTGTTACAGCTGGCACCAAAAGATCTTCAAAAAGGTGCTGGAAAGCTGCCGACCACTTAAAGTGGTCAGCAAACTACTTGTAGTGGTCTACTAGGAAAGAAAGTGGTCGGCAGGTGGGGAAAGGTGGTCTGCACACTGAAAGCAAGCCAATGGTGTGGTGGCCGACCACTTTTGGTGGTCCAAAGACCAAGAAAACCAGTTGGCCGACCAGAAAACTAGCTGGCGGGGGAGAAAAGTGGTTTTCAGGGAGAGAAACTGGTCTCCCACCTTCATTCCACCTTCATTCCACCCTCCAAGCAAGGAAAACAAGGTTTGTGCCAAAAACAAACCAAAAAGAATGCAAGACAAGAGTCCGGGGGACAAGGCGCGCAGCCAGAAACCCCGAAAACTAGTCCACAGGCACCAAAAGCGGTCTACGAGGGAAAAGTGGTCTACGACCGCAAAAAGTGGTCTCCCAGACCTCAGTGTTCCTCTAGACCAAGGCAACAAGGCATGGTCCGAAAACTATACCAAAAGGAGAACGTTAAGCGGTCCCGAGACAAGGTGCACGACCAAAGACTCTAGAAATCGAAAACTGGCTTAGCAGAGGGAAAAGTGGTCTACGGACCTCTCTCTTCCCTCCAGGCAAGGTCAAGAAGGCTTGGTCCACAAACCGAGCCAAAACACAAAAAGTTCAGAGGTTCGGAGGCAAGGTACTTAGCCGAAAACTCCGGAAACTCGAAATGAGCACAAGATGCACTATCACCGAGCGCTCAATCGATGACGTCTAAGTCTTAAGGTCAGTCAAAAATGGGGTGTCTACATATACAAACCCACTTTTTAGATTCATTTTCTAGACCCGATGATGGGTAAATAATATGATTGATCAATGATTGAGAAGATATGAAAGAATGTGTTATCTTAGATATCCTAATTGATTATCACATTATTGAACTTAAAAATTAGATATAATTTGTAGACTTATATAACAATGCCCTTGTTTTATAGATCTTAATGAGAGGATTTAAAAAAAAAAAAATTATTTAAGTAAAACTAAAGATGTAGATAAAAAAAAACAATATTAATTTCTAAATTTTAAAGCCATTACAGATTTGAAAATAATATGCTAACATCGTGATATTGAGCTTTTAACAATCAATAATAGTATTTTTGGAGAAATTTTTTTTTTTTGAACTACGAAGTATTTATTTCTCGTTTTTAAAGAAGTTGTTTGGTGCAGTTTATTTGCGTTGTTTATAATTTTTTTATTCTTCAAGTTTGTGTTAGATTATTTAGTGAATTTCTACTTATATCAGACAAAAATTGGTTAAATTAAGTCGAAAAAAGATGATTTTTAAAATTTGAATAAAATATGCTTTTAACTTTTACTTTTAAATTAATGATTTTTAATTTACAATAAATTACACCAAATTGCACCAAACTAGTAGCATAAACTTATAAGTCTAAACCAGCCAAATCACCCTCTCAACATACGTAGCTACTAGCAAGAGATGGTTTATTTAATTTTTGGGTAAATTATTCACAATTTTTTTTTTTTGAAAAGTGTGTATTTTATTTAATCTCAAAACCCTTTAAATAGACTCAAAAGTCCTATACCCATTTATCTTTTCATCTTTCCTTACACATTATTTTTTCTCTATATCTCTCTTTCTCTAATATCTACCACAACCACGCCTTTTTTTTTTCTTTTTCTAATCTACAATCACTGGCAACTAGTGACTACTATTGATTAGGTCACAGGCAACTACCGAATACCAACTCCTTACTTCGTGTTCACTGACAGCGAAAGAGATGAGTTTCCGACAAAGAAGATGAGTATATTTACTCAAATCTGATGTAAATCTACTCAGATCTACATCAAATCTGAGTAAATATACATTAGATCTGGCTATATCTAAACTAAAAATTAGTTGTCAGAGTACAAGCATCTCTTTATAGTTCTCAGTTTTAATACTTTTTTTGTATTATCTATACTTCTATTTTCCCTATTATAATGGAGAAAATTTTCAAGTTCTGAACAAGTTGTTTTCGAATTTTAATTACAGGCGGTGAAACCTGTAACATTTTATAGTTTCAATTTTTTTGGTGCTGAATTTAATTATTCTTTAAAACTGTAAAATTTTACAATTTCATAACATGCTTTTCAGTTTGTTTAATAAGGATAAATACTTAATATAATCATACTTTGAAACTGTAACATTTTACAATTTCAAAACTTACTTTTCAGTTTGATCAATATTATAAATTATTTGCTTAAATCCTACAAAAATTGAAAATTTGTTGTTTGTTGTTCTTAGGTTTTTTTCTTTTCTTCTTTTAGTTTATCAATATTTAGCACATTTTGTTATGTTTTTTCACTTTAATTTCTCAGGTTATTTTTCTTCTTTTTTCGGCAATATTCTAGACATTTCGGTGAGTCTCCGGTGATATTCTTGAAGTCCAGCGAATATTCTAGACATTCCGATCTAGTGACGTTCAGAACGTTCCGACGATACTACGGCAAATTTTTGATGATATTCCGGCGATTTTCCGGTAATATTGAATATTCTGGCGAGTCCCCGAAAACCGTTTAATGGAAGTCCAACAGTGGTGAGATGTAGGAGCCTCTTTAATTATTATTTTATTTTTTTTAAATAGGATTTTTTTGGTAATAATTAAAAACATATAGGACTAATTGATACAAGTATTTTATTTTGAGATTAGATGAATTTTAAAGTTTGTGTATGTGACTTATAAGTAAGTTCTCCTTTATTTTTTGGTTGACCCAAGAGAAAAAAGACTATCAGCAGTCCAAACTTCCAAGAATTGGGCTTCATGAATGGGTTTCATTGTAAGGCCCAAAATCCGATGACTTCGTTTGATATGGGCCACGAGTACCCAATCCGTCACGATCTCTGCAACGATCTCTCAGCAGGTCATCGTCGTCGTCGTCTCTGTCTCAAGTTGCCTCACAAACCCTAAACCTAACCCTCTGTTCCACCAACGCATCTCGCTGTTTTCGTCTTTTTCTGAGCTATATCCAGTGCCACAATCAGGTGCTTTATTGTAATTTCCTTAGTTAAATTACTTCTTATACATCAGAAGCTTCAAATTTTCCATTTCTAGTTTGCTAAGTTTTATATTTTCAACGAAGATATGCTCTTGAAGATATTTTTCTTTGAGCCATTGCCAACTTGAATTTGATTTCTGTTTTTTTATTTTATTTTAATCTTATAGTTATTATCGTCATTGTGTGTTAGTTTTCGTTATACTTAATCCACGCCGCAGGAGTAGCGGGCAGGGTTTGATGTTAATGTTTCTGTTTCTGGTTTGAGGATGGTGTTGTGAGAGATGTCTCCGAGAAAATGTGAATTGGCTCCAAAGCACTTAATTTTGCATAAAATGGAGTTGGAGTTAGATATAATTTTAGGATTTTTTTTATGCCATTTTTTGAAACCCTGTTTGGTAAACTAAGTGAGAAAAGAAATGATAGAATTATGGTTTCTAACCCAAGCTATGAAGTAGATACAATACAATATGAATACAACAATACAACAAAATCTAAAAATTAAGATACGTTGGAAAAACAAATTATAATTTTTAGTATTATATTTTACACGAGCTCAAAGCATAATGAGAAACCGTTATGTAAGAATTAGATTTTCGTTGAAGAGTCAGTAGTCAATTTGCTCTTTTATTTAGTGGATACATTAATTTGATAAAATCTGAAAAGATAAGGTTCTATTTCAATTTCAATATTTTCTTCTTCAGTACGAATTAAGAAAATATTGAAAAACTATTATTGTCAATGTATTTATTCTATACTCTAATACTATGCAAAATTTATTACAATCTCAATTTCACAATAATTTGGATACGTGACCTAGAGTATCCAAAAATCATCCAATACTTCTCAAAATTAATATCATATATAAGATACGTTTAGGAAGTATCGGATATGTATGTGTGAGTATCTGAGGAGTATCGGTACTCGATACTGGTATGATACGGATCCGACTCCCATTTAGAAGTATCCATGTTTCATAGCACCTAAGTGAGAAAAGAAAATGAATGATATATTGTGTTTGGATAAACAATAAATATAAGATAGGACATGTGTTATTTTATTTTCAATGTTTTGTATTTAGATGGACAAAACTATTGCAAATTTTCTCCAGAGATCTAGAATTTTTATGATGATTTTAAAGCATTTTTTTTTTTAAATTATCTAGACTCAAATAAGAAATAGTTGGTGTTAGATTCTGTAGTTGGTTATGCCCTCTTCTCTCAAAGAACTCCTAATGATTTCGAAATCTAGGTTTGTTGAATCGAAACCAAAATTCTGAAATGCATCCTTTGTATGTCATTCAAGTTGGTGGAAAGGCAGTTAGATTTGAACTATTTGGAGTATTTAAAGTGCTTTTATAGTTATAGAGACCCCCTTATGGTTCAAAAAAGACATTTATACCCTTTTATATCTTCTACAAATTATATACTCTGCAAAAAGAAGAAAACTTTAAAATTATTATACCTAATTAATAATAATTTTTTTTACTTACCAAAAAAAAAAAAAAACCCTACAATTTACTACCTATTAAACTTAATTTAGATTTATTAACATTTTAACTTAATCAAGAACATTAAGTCTACATGCTAGCAATTTTACTAACCAATATACTAAAAGCTTGATGTGGCAACAAACAATAAGTCCACAAACTTACTAATTATATATTGAATGTTAATGTGCACACCAACATCAACAAAGTTAGGCCCACAACTTTATAACAACAGGAAACGAAGAAAAAAGAAAACCCTCGAGAAATTGAATTGTTGTTTCCAAAGAAGAACCAACACCAAATCACGACAATCTTCTCTCTCACCTCCCTCCATAAATTATATAGGGCACTCCCTTTTAAATATCTTCAATATCTATTAAAATTTTCAATACTAGTTTTGATTGGTACTCAAAATGTTCATTTTCTATTTTTATTTCTCTCTATATATCTATTGAATTGGATCCCACAACTTCATGACAAAACGATGCTAAAAAGAAAAAAAAAGAAAAAGAAAATCACATTTAGCCATCTCTTCTGAGAATGAAGCATTTGTCTTCATCCATCGTAGTCATAGGAACAGAGAACCCCTCTAGTCTCAAACCCCCCAATAGATGTCTGCCTCTCTCTTTGAGAAGAAACTCTCTCTGTTGTCCCTCAATTTCTTCTACTCCGTGTGTTGTTTTGTTTGTGATGGTTAATTGGTTTTGATGGTTTTATATATCAATCCAGTTTTGAATTTTTATTGAACTTTTTTGAACATGTGGGCTAAGATAGAGGCATTCATGCAACCCTTTCAAGCTGGTAGGACTTGAGAAGTTGCATCTCCTTGATTGGCAACGTTATTACCTGTGGTGGGAAACACCCGAGATGATTAGCAAGGCTGGCATGGATGTAGAGGCCCTCTCGGCTCTCAACTAGATTTGTGAAGAGAGACGAAAGGCTTGTGTTTTTGTTTTTGTTTTTGTTTTTGCCTTGCGTTGTTATTAATTGTGGGCACTGTTTTTGTTTAAGTTAGGTAGGAGATATCAAATGGGTTGAGGGGAGAAGATTAAGTCAAGTGCAATAGTGCCTTTTTACATAAAAATTTGACTTTGACTTAACTTTTTTTTAGCCCTCTCTCGAAATCCTTGCATTGGATGGGAAATGTAACAGTTGCACTTTTAGTCCAAACCCATAAGAGAGGTCTCTACCTATATTTGAACCATAGGGGGGGGGGGGTTAAAGTGCTCCCAACCTTAACCACACGGTGATAAAGTGAATTTTTCCCTTTGAATTATGATCTGACCATTCTTGTAGTGTTTGCTTTGTGGTGCTGTGATATTTATGATACTTAATATTTCATTGTAATATGACTTGGATTTAGAGCTTTATCTGGATTTATTTGCTCCCTTTAAATGATGATGTATACTTCATCAAGGCTGAATATTTTCAGTAGAACTGCTGTTCTTTGATTACAAAATGCCAAGTGCTTACTATGGAAACATGTATCCTCTGCTTGGTCGGTCAGAAACAGTGGGAAGAGAATTGAAGTTTCTCAACCCTCCGAATGATCTTTGATAATTATTTGGCTTAGGATTTTTATGTTCTTTGGATAAGAAGTAGAAAGTTTAGTGACCAAAAATTTATAACTTCAATAATATGTTCTTTTTTCTTTCCCTTGGTTTGTTAGTGAGTGACAAACAAAAAACTTTGGAATGCTTGGATCGCCCATGGAATTTTATTTGTAATAATGTGATATAAAAATTGTAATATAAAATTGGATTGTAAAAGAAAATAGAAGCCATCACCACCAGTGTATGCAAGTTTGTTGCCAAGTGATATTGTTTTTATTTGTTTATTTATTTTTTTATATGGATAATCTTTTGATTTTATCAGCATAAGTGGCCACCTAACTGCTTTTTTCTTGTAAGAACCCCTTTTGGAATGATAAATTTTATAGTTTTAATAATTCTGATGGATACCCATGGAGACCCGACCCGATATACATGGATTTTCCCCATTTCCCCTCATGGAGTTGGCTTGTGACATATTTTGAATTCCCAATTGGGATGGTTTGGGGACGGGTATAAGCTCCCCTCCCCCTTTCTCCATGTGTTTTACAATTATTCCCTGTTTGAGACTAGGATTTCCAGCATACAGTGACTTGTTTTCTACTGCACTCTCTCTCATTCTCTCACTCCTCCAGCGGTGATAGCCATTGGTGCTGACCACGGTGGTTCTCTGGCGAGGTGAGTTTCTCTCTTTGTCTTTGCCGTTAGGGTTTCAAATGGTACCAAAAACTCGTATTTGCCTGTAGAACAGAGGATTTAGAAAAATGCAATGCAGAGTAATAATTCGAGTCAATGGGTGTATTGGTATGTTTTACTCGTGACTGGGTTGTTCTTTGGCAGTGGTTGGATTGTTTTTTGGTTAGTTTTTTACTTAAAAGGCTGAGATTTTCCTAGGTTTTTGTAGCAATTAAAAAATTTAGTGAACATTCAGATATATATATGTATATGTGTGTGAAGAAGAAGATGATGATGAAATTGAGAATGAATTATTGAAAAAAATGGTACCTGGACATTGGGTGACGTGAATTTGCATTGAGCGTGTGAATTTGTTTCAGTTGTGATTGAATGGTTTCTAATAATGTGTTGGTGTAAAGAAATCTCTACATTTACTTGATTCCTCTAGGGCACTGTTGATGAAAATGGGTTTCCTCTCTCTTTCTCTTCATTTTTTTTTTTAATTTTTAATTTTTATATTCTGTTTCTTTGGAGAGACATTTCCTTCGGGAAATTGTTTTATTTATTTATTTTTATTTTTTAAATGGATTTTAGATTTCATATTGAAGATGCAAAACAAATTTTCACAAACAGTCACAATAGAACATTCTATTGAAAGGAATCCAGTTTTTAAATTAATTTTGGAAATTTCAATTAATAGCAGCTTATTTGATTGTTTCAAGATTATAAATTTGATTACTTTAAAATAATTTTTTTGATTAATTAACTAGATGTGTGTTTGGTTGTGGTGAACCCGTTAAGGGACGGGAATGGTAGTCCCCACTGGGGATCGGGGATGGGGAGTTCAAAAACTGCTCCGTTGCCATCTCTAGATGAATGAATTGATTAACATTTTATTTCTCATATTGTTCTATATTGGATTTCAGGATGATTTTCTTATAAATTTATGATGCTTATTAACCACATTTTTGTAAAGCACATAAACTGAAGAGGAATCAATGTTTTGAGGTCATTCTCTTGTTATGGATTCTAAAGGTATTTCGAGCTATGAAACAGGAAATGGAGGATAATTCAGATATGAAGAGTGATAGAGCCAGAGATACTGAGGAATGGGAGGGCGATGATAAGAGAAAGCAACGGTCAAGCAAGCCAAGAAAGCCTGGGAATGGAGAAGAGGCTGAAGGATTAGATGGCCTTGGAAGAAGGAGAAGTACTGGGGATAGAAATGAGAGCCGAAAGAGGTCTGGTGGCTCAAGCAGAGTGGATAGTGACGAAGACGAGTACAGAGCAAGAAAAGAATCACGTTCAAAGCAGATGAAGAAGCAACAAGAGGAGAGTACATTGGAGAAATTGAGCAATTGGTATCAGGATGGAGCACAAGAGAATAAGCATGATGGGGGAGAGAGGTCTGCAAGTCGAGGACATGGTCAAGCCGATGAAAGTGATAAAAGGAAATCTACCTCAAAGTTCTCAGATCATGACTCATCCCAGAGCAGAATTAAAGGCAAAGATGATAGATCACATGAGAGGGAGCTTGAAAAGACACTGAACAAAGATTCCAGATATTCGGAAAGGAGGGAAACCAATCAAGAAAAGGATCATGGATCTTCTGAGAAGGGGAGAATCCTACGGAAAAGATGGGATGAATCGGATGATGTCAAGAAAGTTGAAGAGAGTAACTATGTGGAAAAATCTGATCTGAAAAGTGTGAAGTCTTCTGATCCTAAGCGTGAGAGTGCTCGAGAGAGAAGTGTGTCTGCAACAATCGAACTGAGTGACAACAAAAGCAGAGGTTTAGATTCGAATAATGACAAGGGTACAAAATCCTACGATAGGGAAGAGAGAAGAATTGATTCTGAAAGGAGTAAGAGCAAAGTCAGGTCAGAGGCTCCAGAAGAAGACAATAGGGGAAGTTCTTTGACTCGTGAAGAAAAGTCAGTTAAGGAGAGAATTGAGAAGCACAGACAGCAGAGAAATTCCACTAGTCAGGATGTCGTCGAAAGTCGTGAGAGGCCTTTTACAGCAGATGAGGAAGGAGCATTGATGAGAGACAAAAGTAGAAGAGAAGTAGACCACTGTAACAGGTCAAAGACCCCAGAGAGGAGTGGAAGGCGACATCATGAATCAGAAAACTCTGAGATGGATTATGAAAGAAGCATTGCACTTAAGCAAAAGGAATTAGAGAAGGATGGATGCAAGGATGACAGATCAAAAGTAAGAGATAATAGCTGGAGTGACAGAAAGAGGGACCAAGAAGGTTCCAAAGATAATTGGAGAAGAAGGCAACCCAGTGGCAATGAGAAAGAGACAAAAGATGGGGATATGGCTTACGAGCATGGAAGAGAATGGGAGTTTCAGAGACATGGTTTTGATAGGAATGACAATGAAAGGCCTCAAGGTCGTTCTGGAGGTAGGAAAGATGCAACCAGAACTGAAGCTGTTAAAACCTCATCAAATTATGGAATCTCAAATGAGAATTATGATGTGATAGAGATCCAAACCAAGCCTTTTGATTATGGAAGAGAGGAGTCCAGATCCACCTTTGTTAGGAGAACTGAAGCTGCTCAGCAATCTGATATAAAATCGGCTCCAAATGATGAGTGGACATATCTGCGGGAGGACAGGGCAAGAAAGATTGATACATTCGGGTCTGGGAAATCCGGTGATGATTCAAAGGATAGATTTGTGGATGATGGTCCTTCCATGCGAGATCAGAATTCATGGAGAGATGACAATGACTTTCAGGCAGGGAAAATGAGAGGCCAGAAAGGTCTTATGTCCTATCGTACTGCTGGTGGCCATAGTTCTAGTAGTGGTTCACAGACTCCACATGGAAACCAGGAACCAGGTTCCTTTAATAGAGCTGTTCCACAAGGAGCTAAAGGGAATAGAGTTGGAAGGGGAGGAAGGGGTAGGCCTACTGGGAGAGACAACCAACCGTTTGGAATCCCAGTGCCCCTCATGGGATCACCTTTTGGACCACTTGGAATGCCTCCACCTGGACCAATACAACCATTAACTCCCAGCATGTCTCCTTCTCCAGGTCCTCCAATATCTCCTGGTGTCTTTATTCCACCATTTTCACCACCTGTTATTTGGCCTGGAGCTCGAGGTGTTGAGATGAATATGTTAGCTATTCCCCCAGGTCTCTCACCCATTCCTCCTGGACCATCAGGGCCAAGATTTTCTCCTAATATAGGGAACCCACCAAACCCTATATATTTTAATCAACAAAGCCCTGGAAGAGGAGAGCCTCAAAATTTATCCAACCCTGGTGTTAATGCTATAGTACCAATCGGACGAGGACAACCACAGGATAAAGCTTCTGGGAATTGGGTTTCTCCTAGAACTAATGGACCCCCTGGTAAAGCTCCTTCTAGAGGAGAGCAGAATGATTACTCCCAAAATTTTGTTGACACTGGTATGCGACCCCAGAATTTCATCAGGGAACTAGAGCTCACTACTGTTGTTGAGGACTATCCCAAGCTTAGGGAGCTTATACAAAAGAAGGATGAGATTGTAGTCAAATCTGCTTCGCCTCCCATGTATTACAAGTGTGACCTCCGTGAGCATGTACTGTCACCAGAGTTCTTTGGAACTAAGTTTGACGTCATTCTTGTGGACCCCCCTTGGGAGGAATATGTTCATCGAGCTCCTGGTGTCACTGACCACATGGAGTACTGGACATTTGATGAAATAATGAATCTTAAGATTGAGGTAATTTTGTCTGCTTGGAGCTTGATATCCTGATGCTATGATTTGATGTGAAGTTACTCTTGTAATTTTCCATCCCATATTTTTTTTGGGTGAATAATAATTTTCCATTCCATATATTTTTATTTGTATGACATTATTGTTCTCATATGCTTAAACTACAATTTAGATGATATGATGCTGGTCAAGTTGCTTTCTGACGCCGTGAATGCAGCTTATGTCTAGTTAATATACATATCAGTGATACTTCAAAATATCTTTGTTGTGCTTTATAGTGCAAATATGCCACCTGATCCTAACATATTCAATTTCAAGTTTTTTTTCCTTGTTTTATGCTTGATATCTGAACCATCTATGGTGCATGTTTACAGGCAATAGCTGACACACCTTCTTTTATCTTCCTCTGGGTTGGTGATGGTGTTGGCTTGGAGCAGGGCCGCCAATGTCTAAAGAAGGTATGCATTTGAAGCCTTTGGAAACAGCCTATATGTAATGAATTGCTGCTTTCTTCTGGTTGCTACGTTTCATTTGGTTTGTAATATCTTCTCTTTTTCCTTTTTTTTAACTGTGTTTTCTTTTTCATGTAGTGGGGATTTCGTAGGTGTGAGGATATATGTTGGGTGAAGACAAACAAAACTAATGCAACTCCAGGATTGCGTCATGATTTTCATACTTTGTTTCAGCGCTCAAAGGTTGGTGGTCAGTGTTTTTTTCTGCATCTGCTGCTTTTTCTCCTTTTTTTGATCTCCCTTTTGTTATGCTGTGATGTGAATGCAAATGTTGTTTTCCTGAACTGTTGATTTCCTTGGCATCATGATGAAGGAACATTGCTTGATGGGCATAAAAGGAACCGTTCGTCGCAGCACGGATGGTCATATAATCCATGCCAACATTGACACTGATGTGATTATAGCTGAGGAGCCTCCTTATGGTTAGTTTTACCATTCATTTCTTGGATGTTAATGACCCTTGGTATGCTGCAATGCATTTTGGCTTATTTTATTGATTTCGATGTATAAAAATAGAATGAATGCATATGGACTATGAATATAGTAATTGTGCTCTCGTCTTCTCTTCCCCTTCCCCTCCTATTTTTCTTGTTTTCATTTATTTTATTTTTTTAAGTTAGTGTGGGTTTTCCTCTATACCTGCTGCATGAAAGCAAACAAAATATAAAAAAAAAAATGTGAGGCATTCTTTGCAGCTTTTTAAAGATTCATGTTTCTTAGTTCTTGCAAGTTTTAAAGATTTTTTAGAGTCTTTTGTTTGGGAAGTGTTCAAATTCATTTTGGTATGGCATATATTGAATGAAATTGGAGCACAAACAAATTCCGTTTACAATTTTGTGTTCCCAGAAACATATGTAAAATGTATTTTCATGGGCTCCTAAGGATGTTCTTTATTTCATGTAGCATTATAATGTATTTAATTCTGATATCTTGTTTCCAACGAAATTGTAGGTTCAACTGCAAAGCCTGAAGATATGTATCGCATAGTTGAGCATTTTGCCCTTGGCCGCAGGAGGATTGAGCTCTTTGGTGAAGATCACAATATTCGGTCTGGCTGGTTGACTGTTGGTAAAGGACTATCCTCATCAAATTTTAATGCCGAGGTACAATGTTTATCATGCTTATCATACAAAAATAGAAAAGGAATAGTAAAAATCAACCATAGTTGCTGAAACTATTGCCCATTGGCTAATGTGTTTTTCGGAGTGGCTATTATTTAGGCATATTGGTCTACATTTATTTAGTGAAAAGCAAACATGGATTATGAAAACTGGGAACTTCTAATACTAGTGACTGGAGAAAGATAAATGCAATTTTTTATCCCAGAATTTCATCAGGGAACTAGAGCTCACTACTGTTGTTGAGGAGGATTAAGATTGTTGGCATGTGCTAATGGAAATCGCAATCTAGAAGATACTCTTCAGTTTGAACAGGATATTGGAATGTGGAAATTGCCTCTGCCCTTCCCTCGTCACGGCTAGAAAATGTAAAAATAAATAAATAAATAGATAAATAAATAAATAAATAGCTTATCCTATATAGTACCTTGAAATAAGTAAAAATGATGATTCTTATGGAAAATATGTTGGATTTTTTCCCTTGATCTTAAAAAATATCAGCTGGTGAAAACTTAAAAATTTTGCATGAAGGAATGACATGCAGAGGAAGAACAAAAACCACACAATTTACACTTGACTTCTGCACAACCATCAGGGGCATGCATATCAAGAGAATTTGTATGGTCCCATTGAGAATTAATTTTTATTTTCTGCTAGGGCAAGTTGGCCAGCCTTGAAGTTTTTAAGGTTTTTGACAAGTACATGATTTCCTTGACATTTATGTTTAGTTGATTGGCTCTTGTGACCATTGTTCTTACTAAGAAAAATGTTCATTATTTTTCAGGGATTTATCCAGAACTTCGCTGATAAAGATGGGAAAGTTTGGCAGGGAGGTGGGGGACGAAATCCACCCCCAGAAGCACCTCATCTTGTTTTGACAACCCCTGAAATAGAAGCTCTTCGGCCCAAGTCACCAATGAAGAACCAGCAGCAATGCAGCAACAACAGTCCGCTTCTATCTCTCTGACAACAGCCAATTCCACCAACAAAATGCCCACTGGAAACTCCCCACAAAATCATAACGCTCTTGTTCTAAACCAAGAAGCTTCTAGCTCCAATTTTTCAACTCCCGGTCCTTGGGCTTCACCAATGGAAGGCTTTAGAGGAAGAGAAGGTAGAAATATGGCTGCCGATGATAGGTTCTTCGATATGTATGGTTTTAATGCGTCCAGTGGGCGGCCAAATGGTGAGTATCAAGATTTTCTAACTCAAAGAGCAATGAATTTGATGTAGCAAATCAACCAGCATCAAGTATGTTTGTGATGTTCCTTAGATTTTTCTAATTTCCCCTCAGTATAGTAATAATGGAAAAAAATTGCATTTACACCCCCCTGTGCACATTTTGATTTGTCTGTTATATGAATCTGCTCTGGCCTGCCCTAAAGTTTTCTGTCTCCAAAATTAGAAACTGTAAAAGTTCAGGTATTACACCATCAAAATTTGTGTTTTTTTGGGACAAAATTACAGCAGTATTTTTCTTCTTCTTCTCTCTTTTTTATTTTTTATTTATTCATTTATTCATTTTTTATTTTATTTTATTTTTTTTTAAGATTGGGTAACCAAAGAAACAAGCTACAAAGCTTCAAGAAAAGCTAACGACTAAAACGATGAAAGAACATTTTCCATCCAAACAACTAAACCCTCTAAACGGACATGCCATGCGAGCCAATCCATGTGCCAACTTATTACCTAGTCAGGGGGTATGTGAGATATGAAAACGTCGAAAGCACCGACCCCTCTGAAAGGCTACCTGCACAACTTATTACCTTGCCGGGGCGTACGTGAGATACGAAAACGTCGAAAGCAGAGACCCTTCTGAAAGGCTTCGTGCAGAATGTGACCAAAAAGGAGAAAATCAATTTGAAGCTTCACGTATAGCATGCACAATGGTGAGTAAATCACCCTCAACATGAATGTCTTGAATCCCCAACTTACTAGCGAAATTCACTAGTAAAGTTAAAGTAATTAGAACTAATACAAATGGTGTATCATTTCAAGAATAAGTGTAAAGCATACATTTTAATGTAAAAAATATGTCAATATTTTTTTTTCAAGTATTCTTTTTTTTTTTTTTTCCTTTCTAACTTTTCGTATCTTATCTTATATTATTTTATTTTATTATTATGTGAATTAAAAAAAATTAAATTTAAGAAATCTAGTCTATTATTAGTATTTTATTTTATTTATATAATAAGCAACCAACTGCCATAGATAAAGATAAAATACATTAGTTGCTTCCTAAGAGCAGTAGTTGCTTCCTTACATATCTTAACAAAACAAAAGGATAGCAACATATATGGAATTTCTCCTGTCATAGACGTGCATGTCCAAGGACAACAAAGAACATACTTCCATGAAGGATTCATTGTATTTATATCTATCTATATATATATATATAAATAGAGAGAGAAAGAGAGAGAGCCATCATTATTTCGGTGTGTGAATTTAAGTAGGTGGGTGAAAAAAAAAAAAAAAAAAATACAGAAATTACAGTAAAATTCGTTTGGATATATAACAACTCAATGAATAATGATAGATGATTAGCAAGATGGTTTAATCAGAAATATAAACAAATTCTAGTCAGTCCAAAAGAAATAAAACAAAAACATGTTAATAACTTTGTTTAGAAAGTCATAAACACTTTGGACCACAATTTTTTTGAATCCTCGAATAGTTTCTTTGTTATTTTTGTTTCATTTTTAGCCTCTGATAAACCTCAAGTTTCTCCTTGCTGTTCTCCAAACCACACCCAACCTTATTGCATATCTTTGTTTACCCTTTATAGGCCCATACCACAAATAGAAATACACATGAAGAAGAGAAGAGACCACCTTAACTTGTTCATTATATCCTCCATTTTAGAATTCCTCAAAACATAACTAGTTGAAAAAATGGCCGGCAGAAAATTCACTGCGATGATGGCAGTCATAGCGTTGGTTGTTATGGGAAGTGCCATCGCGGGGGAAGCAATTTCAGTTTGTGCTAAAGACTGCATGCCTTCATGTTTGGGGGTAGCAGGATCCACCGTTCCCAATTGTGAGAAAACCTGCGAAACTTACTGTAAAACACAAGGTCATCAGCTTCTCTCCATTCCATATATTTTGAGCTCCCTTCTTCAAAACTTACATAAATTCTACATGAATTCAGAATTCCTCCCCTATGTTCTTAAGCTTTGTTTTCCATTGTGGAATCTAAGCCTCGGAAATATTGGGACTCGAAGTTATCTTAGTTCAAAATTCACTATAAGAAATTATGGTTTTAGAAACAAAAAATTAGGGATAAAATTTTTTATTACCAAAACTATTATTATTTTATCTTTAGCTATAAAATTAGACATTTAGTGATGAGTTACTAACCTTTTGGGACAAAAAATTATCTAAATAAATAAATCTTTTTGGGACCAAGTTTATTACTGACATTTTCAAAATTGTGTCCCTAAAAGCTCCTTTTTTGACTTTTCGGAACAACCTTTCATCAACTATTCTCGCGACAACTGAAATTAGTCTCTTTAATATATTTTGCAATAAAATTTATACTTTTAGAGACAAAAAAAACTTAATCTCTAAAACTCTTATATATTGTAGTGATTATTGCGTTTGTTTCAGTGGAAAATATTTTCCAATGAAAAACATTTTTTTATAAATTCCAGAGAATGTTTTCTATAGAAAATGTTTTCCTATATTTGGTTGTGTTCTTGAAACTAATGTATTAATAGTTGCATTAGTGGTAGTAGTAGTCGCGGTGGCGGGGTGGAGGAGGCGGCAGCGGTAGTGGTGGTGGTGGTGTGTTGCAGTGGAGGTGGCGGCGTGGTGGTAACATGGTGACATTGGTAACAGTTTAATTCGGAAAACATTTTCTGCATTTTAAAAGTAAAAAACATCTTTCCGTTCAAAGTGGCTTGTTTTCCATTAACTAAGGAAAATATTTTTCGTTATACCAAATATTAAAAAATATAAAAAATATTTTTTTTAAATTATTTTTTGTCAAAACAAAGGGAGTGTAACTATAGTTGAGAATTCGGGCATGGATTCCATACTGCCAAATCCATGGCTCATTTTTTATTATTTTATTTTTGGGACTTGTTTACAATTTGAAAACACGAGATTGAAGTTGTTTGACAAAACTTTGTAACTTATATTCTGTTTGCTTTGACTTAAAATTTTTTGTCAAATATAGTTTACATATTTTTTATTGTTTAGTTGAATAAAAAGTAAATAAAACATATTTGAAGGAAAATATTTTTTTTATCGTAATTTCCAAAATGATTTATCATTAAAAAATTTATGAGTCAACTTTTAGAAAGTTCACT